CATGATATTTGTGATAAGAAGAAATTCAGAACTGGGACGAATACTTCTCATGTGACACTGCAGCATTCTTAGATGATTAGTAAAGAAAACTAATGTTTAAAACCTTAAAACTTCAGGGTTAGTGGAGGGTATTAGGCAGGGCTGTTTCAACTTGCAACTTTCTGCCTCATGCACCAGCGACGTCTGAGAGACTTCTCCTCTTGTGGTCGTATCTTGTCAGCAATCGATTTGCCGCCAGCTGTACACGTTCCCCCCTGTAAGCCATTCTTTACCTCCTGAGAGGTTTGATTTGTTACTGTAAAGCAAAGCAAGGAACGGCACCATAAAATTGCCTGTCTAAAATGGCAAATGTGAGCACATCTTTCAAAGGCCAGACTAGGACACTAGAAAAAAAAAAGCAACAGAGCAGGAGGCTTTGCAGGATTTTGTATGGATGACTCCCATAGACTCAGCTGTGCCGCACAATGAGTTATGGTCACAGTGAGAAACTCCAATGGCACCAACCACCCACATTGCTCTTGTCTCATTTTGGATTCTTATTTTACAGGCAGTTTTTGCATTTAGTGATAGATAAAATACTTTCTAATTTGCCGCTGCAGGAAAGTATTAGAATTTAAAAATGTGTGCACAGGATCTGAGTCTCTGCTTGAAGGTGAAACTGAAAGAGAATCATCTGGATTAATACATTTAGTGTGAAGAAGGCACTGACTCGTCTCTAGTTCAAACTCACTTCACAAGATTTTCCCTTTCCCTTTGGATTTGGTTTTATCTGTGAACAAGTTGAAATTAGTCTCTGCAAGATCTAATTAACATGTGGGCAATTTGGGAAATAACAATCTAAACCTTTGCATTTGTTTTCACTATCAAATCAGGGTTTCAGTTAATGTAAAACTTGTCTTACGCCTTGTGGGTTTTTTGTGTGCGCTCCCACCAGATTTAACAATCATGCAAGTGGTTATACATGCTGAATGCTGTGTTTTAGAGAGGTTTAATACATCCTGCTTTCCCATGGAGGTCTGTGCAGCTCTGGGAGATTCAGCAGTGATTTGGACAAAGCAGCACACGGTAGCTCCTGGGTAAAAACAGAACTGACAGGTCTATTACCGCCCATCTCCTCAGCAGGCGGATATACAACCCCAAGCCGGTGATCATGACTTCCATAACAAGCCCTTCAATATCCCTGCAGCAAAATCAAGCATGCACACACACATATATACAGAATACACACATGCTCACGAGTTGATTTATGAGCTTGAGAGCCTGGAGGTGGGAGGCAGTGTCGGCGTCTCCCAGACATGTTGACCAGAGAGTGAGCTATCGAGAGAAGACAGGGAGGCGGGCAGCACTGTAATTAACGCACTAAATACATTAGGCTGAAAGATCCCTTAGTACATTAACGCACTGAGAGAGGAGTGAGCTCTTAGTGCTGAAGCATCTGTGTTAAGGGAGGATTGCGTAAATGACGGAAGGAGATTCTGGCAAAGCATGAATGCTTCGTTTCATTCTTCCCTCGGTTGTAAGTTAGAATCAAGCAGATCACTGAATCATGATCAAAAGTCTTCTTGCACTGATTAAATAAATTGTTTATTCAAAGCTGGGTGTGGGATTTTGAGTTTTTTTCACGCATACCTGTAATCTATTAAAATCAATGGAATGGGATTCCTCATATCTGTGGTAGTGAACTCTAGTTGAAAACACGGTGCATGATGTTCATGGTGTGGAATAAAACACAGAGGGAATTGGATACACAGAATAATCCTGCAAGAAAAGTTGAATCTGGCCAAGATGCAGTGTCATCCTAAAGTACAGCTGAAAAAAAACTGCAATGTGGGACTTCTACGAATTGATCCGATATCTGTTTTACTCATAAAATTAGTGTATGCCTTCAGTAATTCTTAAGATGTGTTCTAACCACAGCTGAAGACAGAACGGATATATCACACTCGGGGGAGACATGGCACAGCTTTTAGTGGAACAGGTCACTTTGTAATCTGAGACACTTGTATTTGGGGAGACACACAGCAAAAGGCAGCAGGCCGGAGTCGAACCTGCGGCCGCTGCACCTTGGTCTCAGTACACGGGGTTCAAGCTCTACTCGAAGCAGTTTGTTTTGTCTGAGACGACAAAACAGAACTTGATTCAACTAGCACCTGCAATATTCTACTGCAACTAGTACGAAGCATGTGTTGAATATCAGGAGCAGCTGCTTTGTCAGTCATCTGCATTCATCACCACTGGTTGAAAAGTTGGTCTTGAGCGAGCAAACAGTGAGATTGATAAGCAGAAATCACTTTAGTGTCTTTAAATAATTAAAACATAAATAAACAGTTTCCCTTTAGGGCCTCTGTGGCTCAGGAGGTAGAGCGAGTTGTCCACTAGCCAGAAGGTCGTGGTGGTTGCTCCATGATTGATGTGTGACAGTAGAGTGTTTTCTAGATGCACTGTATGAATATATGTGTTAATGGGTGAAAAATAAATGTTGTGAGCTTGAATGAAGTCATCAAGATTAGAAAATAGCTGTATAAATACAGACCATCTGTCTTCAGTTGGAAGATTATGCAAAACTTTCTTTAACATGGTGAGATACGTCATTCTCCTTGTTGGAGGTTTGCACTTTAAGAGCAGCCCTATGAAAGTGCACCCCTGTGCTAATGCATTTTTCAATCATTTCTTTTTTGGGGGTGATGATTTCGCCTGTTTCCATATTTGCAAATTTATTTTTTCTACTGCCTTTGTTTTCTTGTCTTTCTTGTTACAGGATTACACAAATTCTATGCGACCAATTCACACTTAATTTCGTGGAGCGGTATGGCACGAAAGAAGGAAAACCCAAAAACATTTTGGTGCAGATCTGGAAAAGGGGGCGGATTCAGGAAACTTTTCTCGCTTTGCAAGATTAACCATTTATCAAAATAATTTTAATTTTATGTTTATAAAGTTTTAAATGGTTACATAAGGGGACTTTGGGGCGTTGGTATTCCCTCTACTGAGTGACATTTCAGTTCGTATTTTGATATTCCACAAAGCAAAAATTGATTTAAGCCACGTCTTGCTCAACAGTTGAATCAGAGGAACAGTCACAGTCATCCACACGTCTGACAGGCAGGAGGTGATCCTCAAGCCACTGCCTCTCCTCTGTGGTGGAAGACAGTGGGGAGCATTGTGCGTGTCGTAAAATAGCATCCACCTTTATTGACTCAGTTAAGCCCCTGCTGTTGCTCCTGCAGTCACTGTTTAGAGATAACTCCTCTGTCATAACACCAATAAAGGCGAAACACGAGCTGTACCCCCCCTCCCCCCCTCGGCTCAGCCCCTCTGCTAATTACCTGAGCGTACGCTAAGCTGACAGGTGAAGGTACGCGATGGATGTCTCGCAGGGTGGGTGGGTGGGCGCTGTGGGGGAAGGGCTGGCCAAGGCTGACACCACTCCACTCCTGTGACCTACCGCTGAACTTGGACCTGTGAGAAAATAACAGGTTCTCCAATTAGGCCAGTGTCTCACCGCAGGGCTGTTTCTGGAAGTCTTCCTTACCTCGCCACACAACAATTAGCCTGGAGGAGCTCACTGGCCTGTGGGGACTTGCAGCTCATGGCCTCTCAGCCTGTCAGCCAGAGCCTCTGTTTTCACAAGGATGTGGAATAGGAAAACTTTGGCATTCATTCCCAGCAATTAATGTAGATATACACTGTACGTGCTCCAGAGGCTTTTGTTATTCCAGTCTTAATTCAACCAGGTGGGAAGCTGAGGTGAAGCAGCATATATAACCGTGATAAGACAGGCAACACCTTTTTAAAAATCCAAGTTTAAAACATTCCGTGCAAACGTTGATAGTATAAATTCAACACAAGTTGTGCTGAGTCAGAGACAAGGGAATGCTCTTCCCTGTTCAATTTATTCTTTGAGCTGGAAAACCATAAAATGTTTAACCCTTCTTCCTCGAGATAATCCATCTTCTGCTGTTGGATACACACACACACACACACACACACACACACCGAGCATGTTGTGAGTGTTTGCACAAGGTGTCAAAGCACAGTGTTGATCACTCACTGCTAACCTCTGCTGTTTGCTTTAGAAATCATCCATGTCCAGTATCAGGCACTAAAAATACACTTCAGACTGCTCCTCACTCCGTCATGGTCACGGGGAGAAGCCCTGAGGTGCACCACAGGCACATCTTGTTTGCCGTACAGATAAAGATGATAAATGTCACAACATGGAATGCTTAAATGCTTTGTTCTCTCCACTGTGATTTATGGTGAACTTTGCCTGCGACTAATACATCTTCAAGAGCTTCCCTCGGTAATGGATCCGCCCGAAACTCCAACCTGCCAGAGCTACTGTAACTGTTTGATTTATACACTCGGCATGAAGTGACAGTGCACTGGAGAATAATTTGTGGAGTCATTTAATGGGAGTCTGTAGGCGACTTCAAATTGTCGTTTGAGCAGTTTTTATTCTGGAGACATAAAAAAAAAGCAAACGGGCAAAAACAGCGTGTAGAATCTGGTTGGATATGCAAAGCAGCATGAGTGTGATGCTTTAGATGTTTGAGGATTAAAAGTCAAATTAAAAACAGGATTTCACACAATTGCACCTTAATAATACCAAACACAACTTAAATGATGGCTATTTTATTAAGTGCATTTAAATACATAAACACACACTTTTATATGGTATATGGTAAAAATGATTTTACACAAAACTAAAAAAAAAACAGCAAACAAGCTCACCAAACAAGCATTATATTTACATCAGAAAAATACTGCAATTTTCATATGGAACCATAACAAATAAAAATAAATCTGTATAAATCCAAAAAAGTGAGAACTCTTTTAAAACGACAAATCTTTGCAAGGAGTACACAGATGAGTCAGTGACATGCAGCTGAAGACAGCGTTATGTTAATGCAGGTCTAACGTACGGATTCGAGCAGTCACGCAAAGGCTGCGATCCAAAAAAAAAAAAGCCTGTGAGATTTTAAATGTTTAGCATTCACTGTGCATCTCTGGCACCGGCTGTTGATTTACTCCCTCTGAGATTCTGTGACAGCTTAAGAGACTTAGTGGCCTCGCGGCAGAAAACAGTTTTACCGACTCCCATGAAAGAAAGAAGGGAGGGGAAAAAAGATAAGGGACGGTTGTGACACCATACATACAAACTATTTTAATCCAATTTAAAACAGCAGCTAAAAATACTGTTTTACATATATATCTGTCAGGATCATATATCTTATACTTTATACACATTTCTACAGTATGATACAGGGTGTGTATGGCTTGGCAGAAACTTTTCACGTGGAAACAAAAGGCAGGGAAATCATGAACACAGTTGTGCCTTAAATCTGTACAGACCCTAACTCCGACCTACGCACAGTTAGTGTCCTTTTCTAAACTTTACAATCTTCAAAAAAAAAAGAAAAAACAGCACGTGTAATAATCAAAAATCACTCTAGAAAATATACTTGCATTTGTTATATTCATCAACAGTTTAAAAGCGTTCCTCTGAGACCGTCAAGGCACTGTAGCCATTTTAATATCCTAGGGTTTTTTTGGCAGTGTAGAGAGATTTACTGTATAATACATAAATACAGGCACAAGGCAAAAGTTTGGTATTTTGGCACATGCACTGTGTGAGGCAGCTTTGTGGATCAGTATTGTGTGTGTGTGTGTGATCTTGTCATCACAATGACTTGGTATCGTGAGGCATGTCACTGTGTGTTAAGGCTTGACTGACCTATTTGGATTTGACACATTTACACTCCTCTTACCGTGGACCCAGGGCCAAAGTTTTACCAGTGCGATCAGTGTCTATGCAGGTTAGCTCTTTGTATGGTACATTTTCCAGTACACACAAAAAATAAAAAAGACGACATTAGGTAAAGATTGGACACTGATATGTCTCCAGTCAAATCCCTAAAGCAAATGGCTCTAAACACCACACAGGCTGTGTATTTCTTATTTTCTTTTCTTTTTTTTTACAGTGATCCTGAGGCACTATTTGTTTTCAGGTTGTCGTTAGTCTTTGGTTGCTTTGTTCTTGCTTAGCTGTCTGCATGAGTCTCTGATTGCATGAGGAGCGGCACCTCTCGCTCAGATTCCTCCATCACTCTGGCCGCACTGTGAGTGTCTGAACTGAGATCTTGAGGTTCCAGCTGAGACGCCTCCGATCCGCAAGCCAACGCCACCTCGCCGTCATCCTGCCTCATCCTCTCCTCATCCTCCTTCTCCATCTTCATCCTTCGCTCCTCAGCCTCTATCTCCTCCGTTGTGGGAATGGAGTTCTTCTTGGGTCTTCCCTTGGGCTTAGTAGGGGCCTCGTGACCTCCTTTGAGCACCTAGAATAACACGTAGACGACATTAGAGGACCGCTCCTGGTAATAAATGGCAGCAGCAGTCAAAGGCAATGCTTGCTATTATAGTAATTAAGAGAAGACATATTGCTGCTGGCCGCCCCTCCTGCAATCATTCATCTTTAACGATTTCAGCTCTCTTTTTTTTTGTTCTCTGAATTGTTGACCCTTCTGCAAAAGTGTTTGCTCACACTGGCGTCATCATAGGTCACACCTCACACTACACTTTGTCTTTTCACTCCCTCTCTTCCTCCCATTCCATTTGCTTCTCTCTCATTGATGGTGCATACCAACATTACATGGAACATTTGATTAGCATGTAAAATTAAGGACTTCTGGGAAAAAAGAAAAAACTCTGTTCTGTGAATGACAAAGAGAAAGAAAGAAAGAAATGACAGCTTGCAATACAAACAAATGTGTCCTTCAGTGGCACATATCATTTAAAAGACTTTTGGTTCACTTTGTTCTGTCATATGGATCATGTACTCTGTTTCTCTTATATCAGTCATGAACCGCTTTGGTTTAGGAAGATCAGGTTTAGCATCCAAACTGTATTTATGCCACTCTGCATTGATTTTGTGTAATTTGAGGATCGTGTGAATGCACCGATACTACATCTTTAAAGGCTGCATTTCCGTAAGAGAAGGAATAAGTCAAGTAATATAAAGTCCTGGAGGAATAATAATAAGAACATATGCCAGGCTTTACTGTGGTGCTAACACTTACCATTTTCTTCCACTTCATACGTCTGTTTTGGTACCATGTTTTCACCTGGAGCTGTGTGAGACCAAGTGACTGGGCCAGGTCTAACCTGCAGAACCATAAAGAAAAACAAGCTGCACATTAGACATGAGACATTTCACACACTTACTGCAAACTATAATATGATTATACTAAGATTATACTACACATGCTTATAAAATTGTATTGCATCATGTTTCATGTTATATCGTGGTAAAATTCCTGATGGTTGGTATAGTAACAGCATTAGAGCTGCTAGTAAGTACATTTGATTTACTTATTTTAAGGCGGTATTCATTTAAACCAAGTTTTCATTGTAAGGAAATGAGTCTTTAGTGAGTGAAATCCTTCCATCTTCAATGTTAATGCTGCTAACTTCATATGGGGTCATATGGTGCTGATTTGTTTTTATTGATTATTAAAATATCCTTTCAAATTTTAACTTGGTGAAATTACTTCAGTTTGTGTTTCAGTTCTTTTTGCATCTTCAGCATATTTGAACAATTCTAGTAGCCAGCATAGCAAACTCAACCTCAACATACATTATAAGACTTTTCCAACAACCTTAACTCTGTCTTCGATTCTAGCATCAAAGCCGATTTGCTAATAGCTTGAGTTTGACACTACACACCTGAAGCTAAGGGAAACAGTGTTTGAAACATCCATACCGAGGTCAGTAACCCAATCACTGCACTTGTAGCTGGATGATTGGGGCTCTCTGAGAAAATTCTCAATGTTTCCACCACATGTGTTGATCCATGACTAATAGGGCTATTGGTTGGTACGAAATTCGATAGCTTAGGAAGGAGACAGATAAAGTAAGAAAGGCATTTGTTAAGGAGGAGTGGATTTCGAAGTGTTTTTCAAATGAGATTTCCTTTTCCCTGCTCGTCTCAAAGTCTTTAAGAGTCAGATGAAGGGTTTCTCTTACCCACCGACCACAGAGTGAAACGAACCAAGGGTCATGTGATGGTGGAAGTGGAAGAGGAGACAGGAAAAAGCAGTGAACGGAATCTAAAAAGCAGAGCGACGACAAATCCCTGAGATTCATGGGATCATCTACACAACCTTATACCTTACATAAAGAGCTGTGCGTGTGGGTGACATAGAGGCAGTCAAGCTATCTAGATGTGCCCCGGTCTTAAGCAGGGCAGCGACTGGAGGTGAGGGAAAGTAATTGCAGAAGGAAAAAACATCCCACTTATGTATGGTCATTAGTTCCCAATGGAGGGAAACCACACACTTGGAGAAACCATATTTTGAGTTACTCCCTCTAGGCAAGCCCGCCATTTTGTTCCAGTCTCAGACCTTTTTAATGAGGGAATCTTGGCTGTAACTACCCTTTAATAATAATAATGATGATGAGGAGGAGGAGGATGAAGATTAAGGCACTGATTATTATAATTGGAAACTCCGTAAAATCATTATTGCTTTATAATTAATTATAAATCTTTTTTCAGGGATAATTTGGGTTTGGTTCCTCCTGCCTCCCCACACACAGTCTTAATTCCAGACCGCAGAGTTTTAATGCCAAGAAAAGGAAGAGAAAAAAGTTATCTTTATATCACAACAAACCAAAGTGGGGCACGTCGCACCTTTTGATGTGGGTTTTTAAAAGGGGGGATCTTCTCCGTTGATGTTTTTCCACCAGCAGTGTATTTAATTAATTTTGAACACAGTGTCAGAATCAGATAGTTTGACAGGACACAGTATTTTGGCACAGCCACCCGTACGGTGGTTGGTTTTGATCAGTGAGTTGTGCTCTGCCTCGGGGCTCCTGTAAGATGAGTCATGGCACTTTTCCAACGGGTCCAGGCAAGCCAAGATGTGATATTTTTAATAACGCATCGTGGGAGTTTTCCCTGGGGAGGGGGATGTAAATAGCATGACAAATAATTTTGATTTATTCAGAATATGCAAATGTATTTTCAGATTAGATGTGGTGAGCAGATATGTTGATAAGAGGGTATGATCTTTGAGACGTCTGAGTGGTGAGTGTAGACATTTGCACATCTAAATGTGTGAATATTTTCTACATGATGTTTTTATTAACTACTGATTCATACACTGTATACGTACATTGACATGCAAAGTGCATGAACTATTTGTGCGATCGTCTGCATTTATGTAGTAGTTTGTCATAAAATATGGTTACATCTCTTTGCACTTACACCAAACTAAGCACTGTGTGGCTCTTGTTATTACTGAAACATTCACGGTGCAGGTTGGAGAAAGCATGTGAACTTCTGTCAATCTGGAACCAGATTGGAGGTGTGGCTTAGAGATACATTTTTAGTTCTCTGTTTGATGCCAGTGTGAACTATGCACAGCAAAAAGAGAGATATAATTTGCATAAAGCTGGGTTACAAAGTTAACTGAGCATATGAGGTAAAAAAACAAACAAATGTTACGCCATAGGTACCAGGTGGGAATCAAAGGAGCTGGTTCACATCTCTTTCAGGACTCCACCTGAGCTGGATGATGTGACCAAAAGCTATATTAAGATAAAAATCATATCATATAGATTATGAGTCATTTTTTGCTCCTGGGTGAAGGTTGTGGTTTTGAACTCTTCTTTGATAGCAGAGAAACACTTGACAAACTGCAAAACATTTTACAAATCTGAGCTAGATCGATTATGTGTTAAACTATTCACTGTTTTTAACAATGCATATGAATTATATCAATACATTTTGGGCCTTTGTTATATTACTATTGATAATAATAATACTTATTGATAGGTTAATGTTTTGTTGCCAAGCCCTATATTCACCATTCAAAATTTAATCATGGTTGCATGGAGCAAGTCGTCCAATGTAGGACACTATGGAGGACACTTGCTGTTATACCTAATGTTTGCAGTAGAGCAGCTTGACACTGGAAGTTATTAATGAAGGTTTTCTTTAAAAGATTTGTGGACATGTACATTTACTTTCATTTGTTTGGAAACGACTGCGCAGCTCTACCTGGTGTAAAGTGTTCTGCATACCAAGATGGAAACATCATCACAAAGGTGAAGCACGGAGGGAGTCTGATAACTTTGCTCCTACACTATCAAGGTGTCTTACAGAACGATCAAATCAATGTAATGTAATGCTTTAGGGCTTAAAACCCTCAGTCCTCACCACTCAACTATGGTGAGTAAACAAACAACCAAAAACAATTTAAGGGGTGAAAAACCTCAGGGAGAGCCACATGTGAGGGATCTCTCTACCAGTATGGACAGAACTAGACTGAAATGTAATAGAGTATATCAATAAAACAACTTAATGGAGAGGTATCTGATGTGTTTAAAGCATTTATGTAAACAGAATACGTCCGGCCGAAGGAAAGGGATGTGGGGGGGCATGGAAGGTTGGCGTGAGTCCGATGACATTGTGTAATGCAGCAGCACAGTGAGCCTCATCTAACAGAATGAGTTGATAATGGCTGAGCTGAAGCAGAAAGAAAAGCATCGTGCACCACAGCTACAGGAGCTACCGGAAGCTGCTGCTGCCAAAAGAAGTCTGACCAGTTATTTCATCACTTACTTTTTACTACCAGTACTGTATGTGATTGTTTACTGGGTGTGCTCAATAAAGACACAGAAGATAATAAGTGTTTGTGTGCTATTATCTTAAAAGCTTTGTGTTTATCTGTACTTTGACTTGGATCAAGAACACATTGGATTTTATGACCGTTTATCCCAGAGAAACCAGGTACTTCCAAAAGGGTTGCACACTTTTCTTTTCTTGCCGCTGTATGAAATAACACATTTGAGTAACGTGGGTTCACAAGCAGTTTTAAATTCTTACTGTGCATGTAAGGGAAAGCTTTTTACAACATTTATGGTCCAATACTATTCTGGGTTAAAATGGAAAAGTGGCCTGCAGGCCAAATATAAAAGTACGACATTCAATAAAACTGGAAAATATGGTCCAACCTCATGTCGGGTCCCAAAAATGACCCAGAGAATGAAAGTTAAGACCGAGACCGACAGATATTAACATGCAGATTACTTCATCTTATCGTAGAGAGCTGACTGTGCTTCATGTGCACCTGCACATGTGAGATGATTGGCAGTAAATCAATGTACTACATTTGTGTTTGCTTGTGTTGGCTACCTTCCCTTTTTTCTTGAATAAGGCAGTGTTTCTTTGTTGGGGCCTTTTTTTCACCGGGTTAAAACGTTACTCTTGTCTCAACTAGAATGCTGAGGTAATGTTCTGGCTTAGACAAATTCACATTACATGCGACGTTCCCCCCATGGGATAAATAAAAAAGAGAAAGAATATGACGTTAGTTTAACCGCTGTGCCATAATTGCTCTTGCGGCTTTGTGATGTGTGTGCGCATGATTGCACTGTACTTTCAAAATGCTCTCTATGCCAGGTATGCAGGTTATCAAAATGTCACAGTTGAGTGACATCTATATGGCTGTGGTAGCTTTCATGTATACATTTTAATAACTGAGATGTTGGTAACCTTTAACACATCAGTTTGTTTTCTTCACTGTGTCTTTATCACAAAATCATTTAAGGTTGCTTTGAGGTCAGCGCTGTCATTATATATCATGTATATATGCAGAGTGTTCTTTCTTTTCATTGTGTGTGTGTATGTGTGTGTTGATGACTCTAATCTACCTAATCCAATCTACCCAAGTCGTTTTCAGACATAAACTGGAGAATTTTTCGACAATCAGATCTGAACATTCACATAAGAACAACTCAGCAGGAAATTCTCAGCTCAAACACAGAAATCCCCCGAGCGTTCAGGTGAGGGGTGGAGCAGCAGGCGGAGTCAGGACGTAACGTTGTAATTCTGCCGCGGAGGTCACAGGTTTTTGTTTCTGACTCATTCACACCGACATGGCCCATATCACCAAAAGCTCTCTTGACATCTCTGTTGGTGTCTTCTACGTGTTTGGCTCCACTTTTCCATCCTAAGATATTTCTATTGTTTTAGTTTTTCTCAGTTTTGCGTCTATATTGTGTAAGAAACGTTATCAACACACCCACTTGCTCACAGTCACACCACCAGAGCGTCTCATGCTGTTTTCTCATATGAGCTCATTGAGGTTTTAACTCCAGAGAAAGTCTGAAGACTGTCTGGACATTTGAAATCTCACATGCAGCCCCTCCGGAGAATGTCTGGAGATTATCCAGAGTTCTTTCTGCATCGATCCAATCAGATGTGAGCGTTTGAACTACACTGACCTGTCTGGCGTGGAGAGGTACTTCTGTTTCTGGAACTTCTTCTCAAGGCCCATCAGCTGGAGCTCGGTGAAGATGGTGCGGCTGCGGCGCGGCTTCTTCAGGCGGGGCGTGCTGCGCTCTGTCTCCGACTCGCTGCTGATGCTGAGGGGCGTCTGGCTGGGCGACGGCTCAGACCCCCGTGGATGCTGCGGGGAGAGCAGGGACAGGTGCGAGGGGACCCCGCCTGGAGACTGTGGCTGGGGGAGGTGCGGGGGCACGTTGGGAGGCTGCCGCGTGATCACCGAGAGGAGCGGGTAGGCCCGAAGTGATGAGGAGCCTGGAGGAGCAGAGACGGTGCGTCAGATGACACAAACAGAAAGAAATGCATTAAGGTGGAGTGGATGAAAAATAGAGTAGATTGTGTTATCGTTCTGATTCACAGTTCGTTTTTAGTGAGCTCCTCTGTCACCTCGGTTGTACAGTTATCGACCGGCTGTAATTGCTGAGACAGCTTCATTTTTAATCGCACTGTTTGCTGTGGAAAGCGTTATGCTTTTGACCTCCTCCATGTAGAGGGCCGTGACCTCGATGACGCAGGCTGTGTTTTACACCGCTTCCCCTGAACCCTTCAAATGAATGATTATTTTTCAGAGGTTGTTAAATGATAACTGGCTTCCCAACACAAAACCTCAAGCACACACCGAGTCTGACAGCATCACACACACACACACACACACACACACACACACATTCAGACGCAGACTGAGCGGCAATAAAATCCCTAAAAACTAAATCAAACACCAGTGAACTAATAAAGTTTTTTTCCCCTCTCTCTCTTAACAATCTCCCTCGCTCCTATGCAAGTGCACAGTCATATACAAACACACACACACACGTCTTTGCTCTTTATCAGTGCAGACAGAAGCAGCAAGACGCCAGAATCAATAAAAAGTAACACTTGTCTGGAGCCGAGGCTGGAGGGAAGGAGACCAGGAGGTTGGCCGACAGGATGTGGTGGGTCAACCAAAGTGAACATAATATCTGCCAGAAAAATCCTCACAGCTTCAAATATATAAAAACAATCCGTAAAAAAAAGAATTTACAAGCAGCAGGCCCAGCACAGCTCAGACTGTGATGCACGGGTTGATAAGTGGACTCACAGTGGGGGGATTATGGGAGTAGAGGAGGAATATATAGGGTGAGATAAAAAGGCTGACAATGGAGCAGAGAAATCAGGAGGTTGTCACACACCAACAAACACACACACACACACACACACACTGCATGTGTGTTCATGTGCGGTAGATCTTTCCCCCTAATCTCCTCATCGACTGCAACAGACAACATAAACACTTGGACACACACGAAAACCAATTCCCCACAGCAGACACTAAATCAGACCCCGACTTTGATTTTTTTGCTAGTTTTCTGTTGTTTTTCTCTTTTCTTTCTCCCAGAAAACGTGAATTTTAGCACATGTGGAATAACGCAAACTGAAAAACCTTGATATATATGAACTGTGCAGAAATAAACGCCTCGATCAGAAGTAAGCCGAGCATGAGGAGTCTAAGTGCTGCATGCACAGTTGCTCTCTGCACACATGCAGACACCAGACACTGCCCTGGGCTCATCATGACATCATAGTAAGGCGCTGAGGTCATCGGTAACCCTCCAGCATTTAGAATCCTGCTGTTGCAACAGGTCTGAACAAGAAGACCTCCTCACTCTCTCTCCCTGCTTATATTGCTTTGAGTTTTTCTCCCAGCACTAACCTGTATACATGTTAGATTGTCAGTTGATCAGTGAGGTTAGTGTATGTTCTCCTTTATAGGAGGAATTTCACATGAATTATGAGAAGAGATCAAGAGTGACAGGAAACGTTGAAAACACGACACAAACTGCCAAGCAGCCCAACGTGGAGGGGGTGTGGGTGAAGATGAGGTATTTTTTATACTCCATATATCAACTGAAAATACAACAATTTTCTAAATGATGTTGGATCAAGTGTTGGATGGTGGGAGAGTTTATATTCTGGGAAAAATCGTGGAATTCTGAAAACAGGTTCAAAAAGAGATGAAGAAAGTTTGGGGTATCAATTTTAATACATGGAACCAAAACTTTGAATACCAGGTATAATCTTTGAAAGCCAGACGGACAGAGATATTAGTTACTTACTGAAAATTCTGATTTTAATGGCAAATAAAATGATTTTAATCTCCTGGTTAAGGCCACAGCCCCTCAACATAATGCCATGGAGACACCAAATATAACAAACTCTTTTTATGGTTGAAATTACAGTGAGACTACAGATTTAATAGCAATGACAGAGCTCTAAGCACCTCTCTTTCTTTTTAATCTTATTATTTATACAAGCATCTTTTATTTCCTTTTATCTATCATTCCCTCTATCAGAATTGTAAGCGCACCTATTTGGTTTAGTGGACTACTTAAAGATGAGGGGGCACGCTCCATAAGAGAAAGTATTGAGATGAGGTGGATACGTTTATATCTCCATATGTATCATGTCGTATTATCTGTGAAATAAATAAAAGGTTTTAAAAAAGAGATTTGTGAAATGGCAGACACAAACATCAAGTGAAAATGTCAGTCACGAGAAATAACGTCTGTGTTTGTCTTCGGGACCATCAGGAAGTGTCTTGTCAACAGCGAGCTTGAAGTTGTCTCCGGGCCAGTCCCTCGGAGGAAGTGTAAGAGAGGAGAAAGAAAGAAAGAGGGAAAGAGAGACCGAGCAAAGCGAGAGAGAGAAGTGTCAGCCCTCGTGGTGACTTTCCATTGACAGCGAGAACGTCTCTCTCTGACATGTTGACAAGTGCCAGAGTCCTGTCAATAATCTACAAATAAACTGTTTTGAGTGTAGCTGCAGCCGGGGCCCACGTGAAAGGCACACTGATACTCTTGATAATCACAGTGGGAATGTGGGGACTAGCACAAGTGCTTCTTGGAAACCATTACAGAAGACATACCTGCTAAGAATAGATCTAAGAAGAGCCCTTTGTTAAGCTTTCCTTTTTCATACCAACAATTGATCACATAGTCATTATGGCGTAATCCCCATTTAGCAGACCACATTTTTATTATTTGAAATGGCTGTCATTGTGTGGAACATTTTTATTTTTACACCTGCATGACAGAATTATAGCTCGGCTACGACATGTGTTAGTGAACTTTTGCCATGTTTTGGGTATAAACCGGTGGTGACAGCTCGAGAGTTTCTCAGTTAAACAGGTTTTTTTTTTTTACGGCCTTGCTTTTTTGAGTGTGCAAATAAATGGCTGTGAGAGTGGGAAGGGCAACAGGCCACGCAGCTTCTATATCTGTCCTGACTGATTTGCTTTGATTAGAAGCGTTCACCTTCGGGACATGACAGATTAGAGCAATTTGATTTCGATTCTCAACAAATCAAGAGCATCTTGCTGACTGTAATTGTCAGTAGTTTCTCAGGTGCACACTGGCAATTGTATTTAAAAGGAATTATGTTTAACACAAGCATTAACTGTTTAATGTGAAACCTGATCCGTACAGGTCTTCCTGCTGCACCTGAAATCATGCCTGTTCCCTAAACTGCTTTAAGAACTGATTTATTACTCATCCTTTGTCGCAATAGAGAAAAAAATCTGATGGCAGCGAGGAAATGACGGGTAGATGACAGGTTGTCAAGCATTGTCTTTTACTGTGGGTGGAAGCCGTGCGCAGGTTTAGTCTTTGTGTATGTGTGTACTTGCTTGTGTGTTGACAAGGGTGTAATCAACCCTTTCAAGACAGCTTTGTGCTTAATGGGAGGCTTTATTGTCTGCAGCAGATTAGGGTTTAAGATGCGATGAAAACCTTCTTTTTGCTCACTTAGATTTGTATAAGCCCTCAGCCGGGATACTGAACCACTGAGCGCTGGCCCTCAGGCTGCACACACTCCTACTTTTTTTGTGTTTTTATTTTTCATCATGCTGTCAGGTGAGATTATACCTCAGTTGATCCTAATCTCTCTGCCTCCTCCAGAAAACACCACTAAAAGCCCTGCCCTGGGTCCCGCTGAGAGACAGGGCTCCAAATGAAATATTATAAGCTGCCATTACGTCACTCGCTGTTCAGCAGCAGTTCATCGTCTGTGATCCGGCTCTAACTGACAGGGAATTAACTCCACGACAATTAGCCACTCTGAATGTGCTAAATTAAGCTCTGTGTTCTTCCACACATATATAAAAATAGACTGGGCAGCCAGGAGAGATGAGGATAGAGTCAGATGTAGGAAAATGCAGATAGTACATTAAGCTGAGCGGCGTACCACTGATAAACAACACAAAAAGCAACAAGTGGCTTGTTATCAACTCCATCACACAAACATTATTGGCATCACTGTCTTTCAGCGGCCTCCGCTGGCAGCAGCAGGTTATAGCACCACCTTCCTTTTTGCAGGATGAAGAAGTCAAATTTTCATTGTTGAGGGACCCACAGCAGCAGCTCAGGGGCCGGACGCCTCCCTTTCAGCCCTGGCCCCCGTAAGCCTGCCAGCTTCTATATCAAGCACTCAAAAGCCATTGATGTTGGGGAATATACTGTGTCTCACACCCCCGCGGCTACAAATAAGTGGTGGGCACAGTGTTCTGATATGCACCACGGGTCACTCTATCCATCCAAACAGAGGGGTGCCAAGGCCCAGCCACAGTGCCCTCTAGCATGTACGCCTGTCCATATCAGAGGGATGAGGGAATCGCTCAGCCCTATTTTTATTCACCCGCCGCTGTCATCATCAAATTGCAGTGGCTATTATTTCAGACTTTAGGGCAATTATCTTAATGGTTACTAGAGCGAGCAGTAGCCTTTGAGTTGTTCGGATTTATCTGGAATTACAATTAAGAATCAATCAAGAGGTTGTTGTTTTGACAAGGTCTCTATGTATATCTCTCTCTCTCTCTCTCTCTCTCTGTATCTATCTATCTATCAATCTATCTATCATATAAAATCTATCTGTCGATCTATCATATATCATCTATCTATCTATCTATCTATCTATACATACATACATACATCTTTCTGTCTATCGCTCTCTCTCTCTATTTCTCACTCTATCTATCTATTGATTGATCTACACATACATAATTACAGCCATCTTGGTGAAATGGATAAAAAAGAAAGCACTACATGTATTATATAAGAAGTATTAAAGGTTTCGATTAGTTTTGAATTACTTTTAAAGCAAATGTGGTGAATTTAATTGATTTTTTGTTTGTTTTCTTCCTTCACTTTCTTCAGTATAAATCAAGATACATTAATGTGCAGTATAGTTTATCTTTTATCAGTGTTTTTACAGGGGGGTGCTAGTGGCAATGCACCGTGAAATCCCCGTTTCCTGCTCACAGCTCTGGGTCACATATTTCTCAAGACATTACAAGATTAACAAGATACAATCGTTCCGTCTGCAAATGTCCAGCAGCAGCTAAACTCATTAGGGAAAAAAAGTTCTTTGATTCAGCAACAGTCACATTAATCACAGCAAATCATATCAAATAGACTAAAGGCTGCAGCTCAGCAACCACAGGCATATAAGAGGGAGTTTTGACTTCTAGCTTTATTTACTGTCTCACTGACTCTTCTTTTTTTTTAAGTGTAACTACACTGAACTTATCAGTGCAGGCATTTATCATCTTGCCCTCAAGCATCACTGACAATCACTGACACTTTGATTGTCAACACTCAGCACTGGAGCTGCTGTGATTTATAAAGTTCAGAGTGAGCAGCTTCAGAAGGAAGCAACATTCATTGTTATTAATTAGTTTTAAGTGTAAAAGTGTAAAGAAAATTAAATAATCAAGCAAACACTCAGGTGTCAGGGGATGCATTTAAAAAAGGATGCATTGTAATAGATACAAGTATCAATATGTTTTTCTGCACAGTTGTATGCACAGGGAATTATGATTTAAAAAAAGGAAAAATTACCACTTTATCTTAGCTCACAAAATTTGCCATTACACTATAACCCAAAACAAACATATCAGCACAAAGTCCACTGCACATTTCACATTTTACGCACTGTATATCACATTTCAAATTAAAACTAAAATCAATCATAAAACTGAGATAATACATAAAAGTGCCAACACTTGAACATGTAAAAATAACCATGCACTTATCATTTCCCTTCTTTAAATATACACATATATAATAAAAAGAAGAGTTCTCTTACCCGAGCATGAGTGGAGGGGCTTGGGCCGGACAATGAGAGACGGACACACCGAGTAAAGAGAGAGTTTCTCAAAATAATCACAAGTCTCCTTGGAGAGGATTTCGTCAATCATGAACGTCTTGTAGCGCCGCCTGGCAGCCTTCAGCTGCCCGGGGGAGGAGAGCCTCAGCTCGGCTTGACAGTGCATGATCTGCCCCTGTGCGCAGCGCCGGTCCCTTCCCTGCACAGCGCGTCTGTGTAGTTCGGTGATATCTGTCGGTCTATCTTAAGTGCACGTTGAGAGTCGGTGCTGGAGGTTCAGGCGCTTAAAGGAGTCATGGTTTCATGTGTAAGAAGCAGTGCAGCTCTCCCTGAAGTGTCGCGCTCACGATCAGCAGGCTTGAACTTGAGCTGCACAGCGCCACAGTGGGAATAAAGTGCGAGGTGCTCACACCCACTGCTATATAAACCGTCCCTGAACGCATCTCCGCTGCTTCATCTAAACCCATGCTCTCTCTCCCTCCCTCTCTCTCTCTCTCTCTCTCTCTTACAAATACACTCATGTACTGTACACGCACATGGCCACCTCCCAAATCCTCCCCCATACACTCAAATGATTAAACACTCTCTGTAGATTTATTTATATTGCTTAACCCTAAAATGCTGTTTTTAACCAGAATAATGAATTCATGTTAATTGACTGTAAAATGTTTGGTCAGATTAAGGTGATGTTTTTTTTAGAATAAAATCAAATGTTATCAATGCAAATCCTTGATTTAAAACGTATTCTTGATATTATCAACGTTTCAGATCATAAATCAAAGACCTATAAATAATTCATTAAAATAATGGGATTATCCAGTTGTTTGTTTATTCTGAATGATTTATTCGAATGATTTATCTTGATTGGTTGATTCATTTATAATTCATAAAATAAATGTTTAACTGAAATTCGTATTATCTTCAGTGATCATTTATTCTCGAGTGTGCTTTACACATTGCATTAATTAATGAATTTCTTGAATTTAAAAATCCCATTTCTTCCCTCTAATTTGTATATATATAATATAAAGAGAAATAGGCCTTTTTGAAGAGGTGGTGCCCTGTGTCGAGAGCAGCACTGAGCAGGTTGAAACCGATGTGTTGTTTCTTTCCCATTTATATCCGTACAGTAATTATAATAATTAGTAACTAAGAAGAAGAATAATGTGTATTTATTGCTGGATTAAATGCAAGAAAAACCCCAACATTATGCAAACTTCTTCCAGGAGGAAACATCCTGCGGTTAAAGGCCGAGTCATTTATTTCTTTAACTGTCAGACAAGCTGCTGTGATGTCTTGTTATTCATCATCATCACGACATGAAAGTGCGCAGAGTTTCCGACAGACCTGAAGACGAACACCGGAAAATCTTTCCAACAAGATGCGGCACGAAATCCTTTGTTTTATTTTTAATTTTTTTTACCATGGTTTTAGAAAAATATGAGGAGGAGGACACAAAAAAACTACATCACGTGTGTCAGGCAGATCGAATGTGTCGATAAACTAAAGAATGTGAGGATATAACTGAGTTGTAATAACTCTTATATCTGCACTGTTGATTCGTTTCACAGGCTCAGTCTCTTCTGATGCACCTAGTTAAATGTTTAATATTTAAATAGTTGTTCATATTGTTTTTAACACGTGAGAAATGATGTTGACCTACTTTCTCTTTCAGATATCGCTTCGATTATTGTTTTATGTTTTTGCATTTATTTTATAGTTTAGAGTACACGAGAGAATAAATAGTTTGGTGTGGTATTTCTTATTTGTTTTTCGTGTTCAACTTTAAAATGTTCTTTTTTCTGTGAAGAAAGAAATTAAGTTTCAGTTTTTCTAAACTCTGAAACGTCGGTGTCCTGAGAGGAGAAACGACCATCTTCATCATCTTCATCACATGTAATGGAGATAAATGTCACCGTGGAAGGCTCCGTGTTCTCGGTGTGTCGGGACAGTGGAGGAGGAACGGTGGAGGCTCGGCTGCTCCTCAGAGCCCTGATGATCAGAGAGGAGGGACATGAGAACAACTGCTGCTGTGGGAGGTGAGAGAGGGAGAGAAGCCACTGCAGCCCCACATTCTTATTATTAGGCCTATTCTTTGTAAGCCTAAATATTGAAAGTAAACTTGTTTGTCTGATCTGCTATTGTAAATCATCCCACCCCATTGTTTGACGCGTAATTTTAGGCCTTGACTGCTTTCAGCAAGCTCTATTACCTTCCACTCAATTCAATTTCATTTTATTTATATAGCGCCAAATCACAACATGCATTATTTCAGTTTATAACACAGTAAGGTGGAGACTTAAGATTATAGAGAAACTTAACAGTTCCCAAAACGAGCAAAGACTTAAATCTCTTATTAAAACAAAGAACCAGAATCAGTGTGCCTCCACCGTTGGGGTGAGAGGAGAGAATGGGGGATAGAAGAGAGAGAGAGGGGGGGGGGAGAGAGACCAAGAACAGTCTTAACTCTGGATGACTGGTTGTTACGACAATAATAAAAATGAGATATAGATTTAATGATGTTATTGATTCCAGCACCAGTTAATAATAATATAAATTATAATAATAATGAGGATATTTAAAAAGAAATTATGAGTTTTCATATATTTTAAGGAAGTCAACATTGTATGAAAGGAAATATTTTTGGCCTGGTGAAATAATAACAGTAATAATAATAATAATTAATCTATATCTTGGGCTCCTGTGGCACCAGTGAACCCAGTAACCCGAGGTGGAGACCAGACCCACCAGGAAGCGATGCTGCAGGCGTCTGCTCCTTTTTTTTTGCGGGGGGCTGCTGCAGAGGAGGGAGGGTCTCCGGGTGTTTGACAGTGGATCATTTCAGGAGACACGCTTCTATATAAGTCCACACAGCAGCGGCTACCGAGCGGCCCCTCTAATCCGCCCGCTCCGGGGCTGGAGACGCCAGAGCAGATCAAGCAATTAAAAGAGTTATGCCACAGCCCGCGGAGCGTAACACGGGCCCAGAACCGACACCGGCCAGAGGATACTCTCCATTAGAGCCGTTTGGTGGCATCGGGATGCAATCTGACACGACGCAGATTACAGGCAAGACACAGGAGCTTATGGGTCAGCAGGGTGCAAATGCACGTCCACTTTTGGACAGTGGGAGGTTTATTGGAGGAGGGTATTTCATTGGAAGTTGTCATGCAGAGACATAAGCACTTTCGGAAGGGTAGATTATGACCTCAACACGCTCATTAAGGGATTTTGATCACCCTTTGTTGCAAGCAAACCTGAACACTGTGGCATTAGTGCTGAAAGGCCTGATCGCAACATGAGATGGTCAGGATGAAGGGGCTTCAAAATGTGGGATGGTGCAAGAGACATCTTCTTGAATTAAAAAAAAAAAGTGGTGTAAAGACTGATTCTGATTAAAGACGAGAATAAACCTCGACCTAATTGCATGTTGTAAAGTGAACAGAGTGGGTGACAAACCCATGTGAAGACTTGAAAGCATCCCAAATAGAAAGGTCAAAAATGGGAGCCGATCATGTGGCTCAGTTTATATTTAACATCTTAATTGATTGAATGAAAGGATGTGTGTGGCGCCACCTGTAGATTACTTCATAACCGCTGCACAAGTGTATTAGTTACACACAGGCCATTTATAGGTGCAGATAAGGCCGTGTGTGCATGCATTACAGCATGTAGCATCAACATACAATAGCTCACTTAGTTAACTCACACACACACACAACACACAGGGAGACCTGCAAATAGCATTCATGGTGTGGAGCCAAGAGTCTGGCATTTGTATCTGCAGCCACATGAAACACAAGGCAACAATCACTGATATCGCTTTATAGTAATGAAAACGTTCATTGTAAAACATTTTGTCGTACAGACTCAGAATTAAAAATAAAAAATAAAAAAAGACATTTTTTTTTTATAAAGCGCAAGGTCAAGTGATCTAACAATAAGAAAGAATGGTGCCATATTGCAGTAAAAAGTGGTGCTGGTGGAATCTATAGCTGTCATTGTTCTTTTTGAGGCAAAATACCTGAAGAGTTTAAAATTCTGGCAGCACCATTCAAAGACTATTTGCATAACATAAAAACTGGCTGATACTTTAAATCTTGTTTTTTTTTTTTCAACATGTCTTTTGTATTCCAAATATGACTATGKGTCATGTTTGATTATTTTTTTCTATCTTTGCTCTGACGGTAACACAGTTCTTCACCTCTAAATATTTAGCATCAGGTGTGAGGAAAACCTCACATGAAAGTAGTTTACAAATTTAAAAACGTCTTAAAAAGTAAACAAAAATTACCATAAGGCATAAGTTATTAAATCTTTCCCACTGGTAGGATCATGTACAAAACAACCTGAGTACACATGTGAGTTTATCAACTGAATTCATGCTCTTCTTAAGGAAGCTGTGCACAAATCTGTGAAGAACGGAAGTCTTTACAGGAATCCTCAGTACTTATCAGTACCGTCGCCATCTATCATCCTGGTGGCTGCGGTTGCTGCCCCTGTCCTCATAATGTCTGTTTCCGCCTCTGCCTTCATGGTGACGGTTGCTGCTCCTGTCGCCCTGCTGGTGATGGTTGTCCCGGATGTGGGTGTATGGCTGGTAACGCCCAGAACCTGATTCGTCCCCGTAGCGCTGGTTTCTGCCACCACTGCTGGCGTTGGTCGGATGATGCCGATAGGGGCTGTTGTCCTGTTGTCTCGAGTTTCCACCTGAGGACGGCTGCCTCTGCAGAGGCTTGGAGAAGCCGGAGTTCAACTGCTCGAGCTGCCACATCATGTTATTCATCTAAGGATAAACAGAAAAGACAGTTAACATGACCCATGTTTCCTCCTGCTCAATGAAGCCAAAGAGCATGTTTATATTGCGTCATTATAAAAGTCTAAAAAGCTTACCATGGCATGTTTCTGCAGATTATCAGGAGGTGAAAAGAGTCTCTGCGTCTGGGGCGGAGGAGTATATGGTGGAGAATTGAAGAGGTTCGGCGTCCTGTGGGAGTAAAAAGCAAATATTTTGCGATACCAATCGAAACAAGTCTACACAGTGTCAGGTGCACATAATATAGACTTACAACCACACACAAAATCCATGTTTGACTTCTCAATGGCTGTGATTATTGAATAATGTTATTTCATGCTTTGACCTTATGTCAAGTCACATTCATTTACATCATCAGCTAGCTTTGCAATGAGCCATGGGAAAGAGGCAAAAAATTATACATACTCTAAAAACTTCTCAAAAAAACCCACCAAAAAAACCCCAACAACAAACAAGAAGAAACTGATTTTAATGCACAACGGAAGTAGAGTTGAATAAATATTAAAGTTATTAATATCTACCAAAAATATTTTAACATATTTAAACGGAAACCCTGGCAAACACAGATACAGTGATAAACATTACTGAAATTTGATCTTTTTTGATTGTGTTATCACGCCACACAATAATCATCACAAAGAGAAACTTCTTATATGTATTCACGCATGCGGAAATAAATATTTCCCAACATTTCAAGAACATTATAAAGGTCTATCAAGCATACTGTAAAAAAGATCTGTGTGCAAACTCAGACCTCCAGCTAAAAGCAAGCAATAGCTCATCCAAGAACATAAATGAACAGCACATAATTCATCCATCCAGCCACATCAGCCAGATATTATTACAAAAGCCAAGTAATGTTACATCCTTTCTTTTAAGTGTTTAGTGCCAAGAGCTGTGATGGAATCTGATAAACCAGTCCAGCAGCACTGATACAAGCCAAGTTTGACAGATCAGATTCCAAGGAACTAGATTTGCAACTAAAGATTGAAATCAGAGGGTTGTTTATGAGTGGACAACGTCTAGCTTTCATGGGGAGCGGGTGGGTTGGGTTGCTCATGGGTAAAGACAAAACAAATGGCTCTGTCCCCAAACCAGGAGTGGACATTAGTGACAAAGACAGAGTTAATTGGTCAAAACAAATTAGTGAGAAAATGGGAAGCAGGATAATACAGACCTTTTTTTAAATGATCAAACATCATTGGAGACGGCAAAGGATATCAAGGCCATCTTATTTCTACTGAATGTTCTTTTGGTGCTTTATCTGCTCATCTTTTTTTTGATTAGCTAGGAGTTAGTCAAAAACAAAACTAAATTCCCATTCCTGATATGAGAAACCATCTAATTTTCAAGGAATTAGACTGAACCAATTTTTTCATTCCATTTAAAGTAAAACAAACAGTACAAAAATTTCAGGCAAAACATGCTGTATATACATTACACTCCCCAATTCATCTCAAGTGCCAATATGCTCAGGTTTTCCAGTAAGTGTCTTAAACAGGCGCTGCTATTTGGCATGAAGCGTGGAAAGGACTGCATACTGAATCTTCTGTGCGTCGTGTAAATTCAAACCAATCCAATTTCATTCCACATCTTATGTCAGAGCCCCAATTTCAGCACATACAACACTGCCAAGAGCATGAAAACTAGCATGTCTAAGTAATATTCAATAAGTAGGAAGCACCTAACAAGCACACAGTGGAGTCGGGCTTCAAAATTATTAACTGCTGACAAATAAGAATGGAAAAAAGGGGGGGGGGGGAATACTGCTAGACATCTTTTACCTCCATTATGAAACTGTGGCAAGACTGTACTGTAGCCAGGACATTAATGGGAAACACTGAGGTATATGAGGGTTTGTCAATCATTAGCAGTGCAAGCACCAGCAGCCTTGTTTAACGTGCACATGCAGGTGCAGAATGTGGTCACGCATTGCTCCAGTCGAGTTTCTATGTGCCATTTTATTCTGACACAGCCTACATGCAAAACTTGTTTTCATTTCCTCGTTTGACATATGGTCAAACCGCACTGGTTTTATGAGATGAGGACTGCCGTTTGCCAGGGCTGCAGCCTCACCTACTGGCAGGCAGCTGTGTAAAACCTCACACACAACAGTCTCAGGTTTAGACAAATCGTTTAGCTCACTGGTTTACCCTCATCCAACAATTTTGACTCCATGTTGAGAGGGTTAAGTCCACGGGTTCTACCTGTGATTGGTAAATCTAAACTTCAAGCTGCGACTGAGAGATTGCATTAGGAGAAGAGCTCAAAAATGAAAATGCAGGAGGGTCACAAAATTCAGTCAGGCAGAAAAGAGCCAGTAGCTGCTGTAATGGTGAAACAAAAACAGTTTGAGACATTCTTACCTCTGTCTGTGGGGGTTTGGAGTATTTGCAGAACCTGAATTTTGCGTGGCCCCTGCACTGCTGCTATGACTGCTTCCTATGATGGAAGAATATACAGTTTAACAGTGTAAAAGAAAATCATCAATTTAAAAAGACTTTTACTAAGTCATATATGTTATTTATTTAAAAAATAATAATTTCAGATTGCCAATGTTCTCTTAAAATGAACAATAATTGTTTTTTTCTTGTATAAACATAATTGATATTAAACATGGCTCTAGCCTGGTTCATTTCAAACCACTTGTCAATAATGTTGCTGTGGATTAAAAGGCCTCTGATCTGGTACATTAATCACGTGTTGCTTCACAATAAGCCTCCACAATATGAGCAAAATCTGCAAATTGCAACAATATTGTTCAATATTATGATGACAATGTGGCGTACAATCAAATATTTAAGAGTGCAAATATAGTTCCTATGTCTACCTCAGTCTCCACCAAAGTTGCACCAAATTAATATCCTTGAGGTTGTTAAATGAGCACTTCTTAATTATGTACTCCTGGAAACAGTCTGCTCACCGTAACAGGTTTAATTGAAGATATTAAGGACCATAATAAATCAAATCTAATAACAGTTTTTACATAATGCTAATATCTGTATTGTTGAAAACATGGAAAAATTGCAAACTGTGCATGCCCCCAAAACGCAAAATTTTAAGTTTGACTACAGTAAAGTTAAATGAATGTTAGCACAATTAACACCTACCTAAAAATGTTTATGATAGTAATAATTAATTTCTGATTTAATTTTAAACTTTGCAGAAACCCTGTGTAACCATTAATGCTTAAAATACAGAATGAAGTTTGCATTTAAATAATTAATGAAGTAAATGACATCTAGAGGTTAATACTATCAAATGATTACTCCCAGATCCATCACAGTAAAGGCACGTCAAAGACATGTGTAAATATGTGCGACTGGCAGTGTAACTCCACTAAATTAACATGTTCCACGAGTATCGTAAACGTTGTGTGTACATACCACAGTGTCGCCGATTAAAAACAAAGTCATCTCACCTGATCTGAACTGCACATGAAGAGTTCTGCCAAACAGCGAGGTCCCGTTGAGGAGCTCCATGGCATACGGCACAGACACCTCGTGTTTGTACAAGGCGAAACCAAATGTTTTCTGTTTCCCATCCAGATCTTTCGGGATCTTAGTTCTGATGAGAGGTCCTGCCTGTAAAAAAAAAAAAAAAACATGAATAAAGGTTTGAACACAAAACAACAACCAAGCGCAAGCTTCTGACAGCTAGCTAGCTTGTAAGGCTAGCTAACTAGCTTTAAGCAAACATTAACTTCTCTTCGATATATCTACAATGTGTGCACAACAAGAAATATGTGTACAGAAGCAACACAACTAAACGATTCGGGCCATTTCGACTGTGACACGGTTTGGGATTGTTAGCATCGTGGATGTTATGCTACATCTGCGCTAAAGCTAAAGGCTAGCGACAACAGCACCTGTAAAAAGAGCTCGAACAAAAGCTCCTCCGTCACTCTCTGGTCCAGGTTTCTGATGAACAGCGTCCTGTCCGCTTCGTCCTCTATTCCCATGGTGTTTCTGTGGATGGTGACTCTCCCCTCCGGTGGTTTCACGTTGTAAACAGTGCCCTGCTGTTGAGAGATGGAAGGCCTTAGTTTGCCGAAAAGGGAAATGCATTAAGACGTGAGCTTCTGTCGTAATGCACAGCAGCTACTTTACGACACTTTAAATCCAGAGTGGCGGTAAATCCAAGCTCTGCATTAATTTGTCAAACAGCTCGTGTGCTCCACAGAGTTCAAATATGACCATGTTTAATTAGAAATATTTAGTCTTCGGCTACATGGTGGGTTTCTAATGTGGTGAGTAATATTTGTATCTTAGTAAACAAGACAACACAACACAGAAGAGCTGATGAAGCTTTTAGAAGGTTTTTGAAAGTGACTTTTATTTTAAATGTACCTGTTCAGCTCCCAAGTTCATTTTATGCTGAATATATATATAAATAAATATAGCTTCTTACGGATATCAAAAAACTCATATAAAATACCGAACAAGGGTAAATAGTGTGACTGTGAGCCAGCTTACAAAATACAGGGACCCTAAAACAATAGCAACGTAGTTTAGGTGTCATTTTGTTATTTACACCTCCATAAAATGCCCTCGTTGTAAAGAAAGCATTACTTTTTAATGGTGTACAAGAGGTGCTCAAAGAAAGTTATGAATGTTGCCTTATATTTGCAGAATTTTCCCTGAAGTACACATCCAATACAATACAATATGTAAAAATTCAACAGAAAACACAGAAAATGCCTTCAAACTGCTCCTGTGGAGTCATCCAAGTGTCTGTAAGCTCGACATTCAAATTCAACTCAAAACAACCACCACGTTAAGTCATAATGTCCACTGTTATCTCCAACCCAGAGCCACGTTCACACACACACACACACCGCACAAGCTTGCTTGATGCTTGATAATGTTCACTTCAATTGTATTGGATTTGGCTGCAACGCTGTTTACCCCTGAACCCCCCCCCCCAAAATTCAAGCAAGCTGCTTCTAATTCCACACACTCATAGATACTAGTTTCCTAAATGTGCCTGATTTCTTTAAACAAGACCCATGAATTATTTCCTGTGAAAACAGTGAAAATGTTGAAAATAAAACTCCCTATTCTTTTCGTGGTAAACTGATCAGTGATTTTTGTTTAATCCTGCTAACTAACACACAAACAAACCAACTCACATATAGCTCTGTCTCCATTCCCTTTTCAATTAAGTCTTCCTGTGTGACTTTTGAGAGCCTTACCTTTTCTAGTTGAAGTTAAAGCTTTGGAAAAAGGGTTTGAACTGTTACACTTGTAAACCTACAGTTCTTGGACTTGGCAAAATAACCTTTCTTCATTAAAAAAAAAACAGGTTTTTCTGAAAAAGATATAACCAGTCTAGGACACACAAGGTTTTTATTTCAGTAACATCTGACTCATCACAGTTTTAAAGGACTAATGACATCAAAGGTCAAGAAAGGAGTATTTTCTCCTTTGATCACACAGCATTTATATAGAAATTGTACCTTAAAATGAGCTTTAAAGACTTCAGTGATTTTGTGCCTCCAGTTAGGTTGTCCCTGACCCACTGTTCTACCTTTTTGGTTTTGTTTTCTTTGACACTTTTTAAGACTCTTGTAGTGTTGTAGTCTTATTTTCAGCTGCTTAACAATCTTTTCATCTTTTGATTTTTATAATGTCACACTCATCTACCAATTGATATGTGTGGACTGCAAACTTGCTGACCATTAAACACGCGGAGTCATGGCTCAGAGAGAAAGGATAAGCTACTTGATGGCTTTGTGTTCTTAGCTGCTGCACAAGCAAAGCATATTTCTTCCACTCTTGCCATCCCAATTGCCTGGCCACCAACCTCCCTAATTTTCTTGATGATTTCAGATTTTGTGACCACACACATTCACTTGACTGGCCTTCATGCATCCTGGTACGGTACTTGGTACTGGAGGAAGTAGCAGCTTGGGGGAATGTGCTGGCTTCAGGGGCAGGGGACTCCAACATGCCTGCATGGTACCTGTACACTGCAACACCACAGAGGGTTGCCTTGATGCCACCAGATGATCCAGGGGTTTGTACAGAAACAGGGCCCAAGCCTTTGGTGTCAAAGTCCACATCAAACCGAGGCAAGTCCAAAGTCGACCATCTGTACAGCTCATTTCACCTCTGATGGACCATTGGCATGTGCATTTACCAGTGAGTTTTACCAAGCTACAGTAGTAGGAATAAGTCTGTTTGCTTTGGTTGACCTGGCTGTCTCACATAGAAAACAACCAACTCACCAACTCCTTCTTGGTAGAAGGGTGAGAGATGCAAAACTGCATAGAGATACATAAAACCTCAAAATTAGATGCCTAAAACAACTAATATAGCTTCTTACAGATATCAAACTTTAAATAAAACACCGAAAAGTGTGACTGTATTTTGCAAGTTGGCTCACAGAGACCCTAAAACAGTAACAACATAGTTCATGTGTCATTTTTGTTATTTTTTACTTCCTTATGTTGTACTCATGTTGTACAAGTAGTGCTCAAAGACAGTTTAATGTTGCCTTACATTTGCACACATTTTCATTTTCATATCTTCTCACGACTGTATAATTTTCATGCTTCAAGTTTTTGTAATGATATTTTTTCATTTCTTTGCTTTTCATAGCCCGTACATTGCACTGAGTTTCTTCCATTTTAAAAGCAGTTAATGTTTTCTTTCCTTACCACCATGGCTCTCTCTGATTGGGTCAGTGGCTTAAGAACCTGGAACAAAGAGCCTCTGATTCTGGCGACATCATTGATTGTGGAGGTCAAGTGAGCGGTACGAGAGGCTTGACTTCCACCCTAATCAGCTGGGTCTCGGTGTCTGTCCTCCACATTAATTACATCAATTTAATCTATAATGATTTTCTCCTTCATGCCTGGGAAGCATCCTCACATATTCCGACCTGGTAAAGCCCAAGTAAGAGAGAAACAGACATGGCACAACTGCCATTACTTAAAGGCTGTTCTTTTACTTTTCTTGCATGTGATAGCTATAATAGAGGAGTCTAATCCTTAAAGTCTCTAAGACATATTTATTCAATGTCATTCAATGTTCTTGAATAACTTATAGTATTGGTCCTGTAACAAAAGAAATGCAATTTACCTCTAAAACCTTGGCTTTGATCATGTCTTGCAGCCTGTTGTGCACAGTTGTTAAGACTTGATGCGGTGGATGTATTGGCACTTTCCCACAAAATGCTAATGATTTCAAAAGCCGCAGGGCTGCAATGGAAGCAGGAAAAAAGGCCAGAACCATAAAACTACACCAGTGCTGTACACTATTTGATGACTAATGCTCTTGAATCTATTTTGGGTTTCTACATTCTATTAGCCCATACATCTCCCTGATGTATTTCCTCCTCCTCCCATTTTATAACCATTGGAAGGATTTCAGGAGAGCACTCTGAAAGTGCTATTCTATAGGACGACTGGAAATGAGGTCAATGAGTAAGTGAAATGGAAGACAAAATAGGCAGATCTGCTGAATCCGTAAAAACCTCACAACTGCCTTTGCTGAACACAGTACAACGCATTTTGCTTAAAACCATTTCATGCAAAAATCAATTATATCTGTTCGCAATAACCAGTTAAATCATTCCTCTGGACTGTACTGCAATGTGTTACACTGAAGCACCTGAAAAGCAGCAGTAGATGGCAGCATTGATCCAGTGATGCTGGAGTTTTCACAGTTGCACTGGCAGAGTCTTCATCTCTAAGGGGGATTTGAGACAGTTGCTGTGCACTGAGGAAGAAAAAATATATTTTTTTATGTGGAGAAGGGAATTGGATTTGATCATCATAGGAATTTCATATTTCTCTTTTAGCCTGTAGCCTACTCTCAGCTTTTTTTTCTCATAACATTAAAGGAGTCTAAATGGCTTGTTAGAGGTATTGTTGTCCACAAAACTATTTTTCTACAGTGGCATATTTATTTTTTCAATTTAGGTTTCCCAAAGTTAAAGTCAGTGGTCAAAAGAACAGATTTGTATTTTATTTTTGTGGGATGTGTACTGAGGAATATGATAATTCATAGACAATAGGGCCGTGGCTGTATATACACATCTTACTATAAGGGTGATTAAGACATGTCAGGGTAAAATTGAATGGATTAGAGTTTCACGCTGTATGTTATCAATTAATCCTTAATATATTACATTGCATATTTGGAGGATTGCATGGTGGTTAAGTAGTTTGCACTGCAAGATGGTTCCCGGTTAAGCACTGGGTTTTTCTATGAGTGTTCTGTGGGTACTCCTGCTTCCTTGCACAGTCTAAATACAATGCTGATCGGGGGTAAGGTTACCTGGACACTCTAAATTGGCCAAAGTGTGAGCGTGAATGGTTGTTTGTCTCAGTATGTTGGCCCTGTGATTCGCTGCCGACCTGTCCAGGATGTACCCCATCTCTTCCCCATTGTCAGATGAGATAGATGGGTATTTGTTTTCAACGGTTCAAGTGTTATGCAGAAACTCACAGGTTTGTGTCCAAGACACCGGCAAGCAGAGCACTGTTATGCCTTTTTACCTCTGTGTTGTTCTCGAGCAGAAAGCAACTGTGCTTATTTATCCCAGAAACACGTGTTTTCTACATATACAACAGCTGAATGCACTTTAGCTCAAAAACAAATCACACACTCATCTTTATGAATGTGAATGCATCAGCTTCTGTTTTTATGACTGCATGGGCTCTTGGCTGCATTGAATTAATTAAATGTTGAAAACAAAACCTTGACAAAATGGGAGCAATGCTCAAGGGCAAGATGGTAGCCAGTGAAGGGGAGAAGTGACAGGGCAGGACCCCAGAAATAGGCCATGACCAGCCACCTCTGTTGCTCTGGTCAGATCTGGGTGAAATCTTCTGGTAGTTTAATGCTGCCACACTTTGTGTGTAGCCTCATTACAACAGCCCTCACACACATACACCGCACAGACACACATGCACTGCACTCCCTTCCAATTATGACCTCTGGCCTGGAGGGTTTGCTGGGGACTCTGCAGTGATTGACTGGTTGCGAGACACATCCTTCTCCTTCACCAACACCCTCGCTTTAGGCTCCAACCTACACACGAAGCACCCCC